AAATATGCGCATGTGAAACACAAATGTTTTCCATTCGCTGAAGCATTATAAAAGACCTTTTAAAAATAGTTATGCAGAGCAGTAATCAATATTTAAGCTTTCGAGTGGTCATTGAGACTCCATAAAAAGTTCTTTTTCAATGCAAGGGATTGCTTCTTCATCGCGTGCTTTCTAATGAAAAAATACCGAAAAGTGCGTCTCATCTTCGGAGAATTTCAGCACATAAAAGATACATATTGCATCAAAGGGATATGAGCCTGTAGAGGCAATCGTGCTGTATTAGAGTACCGAAGCCCATGATATTTTGTGAATTAAGAGAAAAATTTGCAAACAAATAAGATAATTTGCGCTCCTTCTGATGGTGTTGAGCGTGGCGTTTATACGTTGCACCTCGAAAGGGCGCTATTTTCATTAGTTATTCAAGGAGCTCCCTCCACTTCGTAAAAATTCTCAAGCACATCCTGCAGAGGAAACTTTATTTTATCGTTCCATGAATTTTACTGCTTATTTTTTTGGATAGCAAAAAGAAGATTTAAAATTTGAGCTTAATGGCTATTACTTTGATGGCAAAACGTTATAATATTTTTTCACTTCTATAACACTCTATGAAAACCTTTTGCAAGTTCAGCCTAAGGTTCAAGATCAGAGATGTTGAAGAATGAGTGGCGCAAATCTGCCTCGATGGTGCAGCGGTAGTAGCACGCGTCCTCGGTATGGATAAAACTCGGGTTCGATTCTCGCGTGAGACCGTGTTTTTGCTCATCACTCAATTCTTTTAGGTATATACGAAATATCATAGTAGTGCGGAAAATGCAGTAAAAATAGCAGAAATTTCGAGATTCAAGATCATCAAGATTTTTCCATCACATTAGTATTTAATCTTCAATGAATATCTATGAAGAGCCAAGCACAGACGCCAACCTTGCCAATAGTAGACGTCAAAAGTAAAATGTAGTCTTTTTCGTCATTGCTACAGCGCATCAAAAAGACTGGGCATAACCAAGCCTAGTACTAGAACAGTCATTTCTCAAGCTATTGAAAGATACTGAAAACACAGTATAACCGTTCACATAGCGAAAACGCCAAGCAAAAACGATCGAAAAACACACATTACGCTTCGGAAGCAAACGGCAGTTTCTCTACGTTGCTACAACGTACCAGAAGATCCTTTTAAAAAACTAAGTTAACTACTTGAATTGTAATTTTCTCAGCTATCAATTAACACCCAAAATTTGGTGACAACTATGCGCGATGAGAAAACCTCGAAAACCAATGTATATCATTGACACACTTGGTCCCAAAATGGGAACGCGAAAAATAATTTCTTCGTTTACTACAGCGCAATAAGAATATTTTCTCAGAAATCAAGTTCCGGATAGAACTGCAGTTTCTCGACTATAATAATTAGATAAAGAATGATACTTTACACAGTGATGTAGAGTGATATGCTTAACTTTTATGCCTGGCAGGATTCGATTCCGCTTTTCACCCTCTCCGAAGGTTGTGTGCTCTATCCTTTGCACTAGCGACGCCTGTCCATCACTCTTTCTACGCTACAACGCATATATCTGTCAGCAAGCAACCATCAATGGTTTGGCATAGCAGTCGATTTCGTCATTGAACCTAGTCACGCTGACGGATATTGGCATTAGATGACCAAGCAGGATTCTTTCTAATTAACCGCTTCTAGGGGTGATGTGATGTTATAAATATGATAGGCGTGGTAGCAAAAGAGATGTAGGTACTGAGGGATGAAGTACGCACCCCTGATAGGGTGAAATGCGGGATCGAGTCCCGCTTGACGCAAAACTTTTGCACATCACTCTACATCATTGAGCGCTGAGCATCATATCTTTCTTCCATCGCTTTCGTGAAGAAATCGGACCAACGGGTCAGTGGTCTTCCTTTAGAGCGCTTGACGTCCCGAGGAATCCAGTCGGTAACGGCTCTCGTCCATCGGTTGTCGTTGAAGCGCATCACGTGTCCGGCCCACCTTATTTTCGATATCCTGGCGTGTAGAACGGCGTCTCTGATTTTCGATCGTTGACGTAGGTCGGAAGTTCGGATCCTTTGTCTCATTTGCGAAATACGAGACACTCCTAGCATCGACCTTTCGACTGCGCGTTCGATAACGGCAAGTGATCTTTCATCCTGCTTACGTAGCGACCAGGTTTCTGCTGCATACGTTAGGGCAGGGATAATTGTCGAGTCGAAAAGGTGGGCACGGAGTCGGATGTTCTTTGTCCTCTTCACTACATCTTCGATGCTCTTAAACGTTCCCCAAGCCGCTCGTTTCCTCCTGCTCAACTCTGGGGCTAGGTCGTTCATCATGTTGATTTCACGACCTAGATAGATGTAACTGGAGCATTCGGAAATTGTCGTTCCGTTGAGCGTGAATGGGGCATTAGAAACCCATCCGTTCCTCATGAACATTGTTTTCGTTAGATTCAGTTGAAGACCGATCTTTCCACAGGCGTTATCGAAATCAGTCAACATTCGTTCCGCTTGGCTGATGTTTGGTGTTATGAGAACGATATCGTCAGCAAAGCGAAGATGGTTTAATTGTCGACCGTCAATTTTCACTCCCATTTCGTCCCATTCTAATGTTCGCATGACGTTTTGTAGGGTGGCAGTGAATAGTTTTGGCGATATTGTATCGCCTTGTCGAACCCCTCTTCTTACGTCAATTGTGATATTGTTGTAGAATGGAGATATTCTGGTCGTGAAATCTTTATAAAGCTCACGAAGGATCATTATGTACCGAGTAGGGACGCCCTGGTTATCCAGAGCCTCTATAACCGCTTCTGTTTCCACTGAATCAAAGGCTTTTTTCAGATCGATGAAAGTGAGACAGAGTGGTTGTTTGTACTCTCGCGAAACTTCAATGAGTCTTGTGATCGTGTGGATGTGGTCCATGGTACTAAATCCTTTTCTGAACCCTGCTTGTTCGCATGGCTGTCCTTCGTCCAGTGTTCTGTCAATCCTGTTCAGGATGACTCGAGTAAAGAGTTTATAAACAACGGACAGCAAGCAGATTGGGCGATAATTGCCTATGTCGTGAAGGTCTCCCTTTTTGAACAACAATACGGTCTTGCATATTTATAACATCATACCGTAGCTAAATGCGTGTAAATAAAAAGAATTATGCCCAGATATTTTGTTGAAAAAATTTTATCTGGTGAAAAAGCGAAGCAAACGGAGTGCAAAACACACTACACACTTCTGAAAAAAACCTAATTTTCTTTACGGTACCACAGCGCAATAAAGAAAAGCGTTTTCAAGAATCATATGGCCTTGAAACTAGAATTTCTTCAGCTGTAGAGTAACTACTAAGTTCAATGAAAAATCTGTGTTTGGCTATAAAAGCACGAAAAGGTTTGTGTATAATTTCCGACAACGGCAGCCGTTACCGCTGGATTTCTCGGAATGTCAGGTGCACCACAGAAAAGCCATCGAGCCGATGGTTCGACTTCTTTATGGAACTAGAAGAAAGATATGATCTCTACGATTTCCTAGAGCAAGAAGAACCCACGTGGGCTACTCTTCGCCGACAGAGAAAAACGGAAGCGTTCATAGGCTCTCGCTCGAGACACTCAACAGACTAGTGGCTCAATAGGTGATTGCTCTTTCTTAGTCGATTCGTCTCGAAACAATCCTGATTTCTTACTACAAAAGGTGTCACCTGCTCAACTCTGAGTTTTGCAACGTGCCATTTCAAAAAACAGCTGGCCAAAACGTTTTCCAACAAAAGAAAAGACTCTTCTGATAATAGCGCGATTTGTTGAAGTGACAGAAAAACTGAATTCTTTTCGCTGTGTATAAAAAGAGCTGCGCAAAGCGAGCGCCGGTGGTGCAACGGTCAGCGTACGCTCCCGCAAAAGTGAGATCTGAGCTCGAATTCCGGCTGGGCGCAAATGTTTTTGCAGAGCAATCCAGATTATTGGGTAATTACAAGGTCATACCACCGCAAGAAACGGTCAAATAAATGTTTGCGATTGATTATTGACACCCAATATCTGTCTGCTCAAGTGGGTTCAATGCCGATAGCGGCTGCCCGCCAGACCGTAAACGGTTGGCAGTTGACAGAGAACGCGTTATAGCATAAAAATAGTGGTGTGCAAAACAGCGTCGTTGGTACAACGGTCAGCATACACTTCCGAAAAGAGTGAGATCCGGGTTCGAATCCCGGCTGACGCAAATGTTCTTGCAGAGCACTCCACATTATTGAAATCTTTTTATTTGACTGTTTCTAGCGGTGGTATGATGTTAAAAATGTAGCCAATGATGAACAGCGATGTACAAAACTTTTCGCATCGGGCGGAACTTGAACCCACATTTCATCCTGTCTAGGGGAGCGTGCTTTAACCCGTTGCGCTACCGACGCGTGCTTTGCTGTCACTCTAGCAGAAAAAACTGCTTTTATACAAGATGGTTAGGTGTAGAGCTCTTTGGGGAAAAATGAACGTATCAAAATAAAAATCAAAATGAATAATAAATAATAACTAACTGTGAGATGACGAGGATAGACAAGGCGCCACTGTCACGTACTCAGTATGGTGATCAATAAATACGTTGAGGGATCCCAGTGACGTGGAGCAGTTTTTGGCAATGGAGCGCGATTACTGCATTTTTGAGAAAAAACTCTGTTTTCCAAATCTTAATCATCAATACATTGCTGTAGATATTTTGACGGATCGTGCCTGCCCTATAAGGATTTAAGAGCTCTTAGAAACTGTTTTGAGCGGTAAATTAGTCTTTACTGGCATAATATACACTTTAATCCTATGATAATGGTGGTTAATTTTGCCGAGCAATCAAACGTCATAGATGCAATTCTCTGAGTGATAGATACCTTCCCTTCAACACGCGTTCACTATCTACTAAGTCTTCTTTAAGATCAGTACTTCGATCTGCGCAGGACCACGTTTGTCATCGTTTATTGCCGACATACCCTATGGTCGCCCTACCTCGTAGGCAATCGATACCTTAATCAATATCATGGCCACTTACAGGTTCTCACTCGGGGACACATGTCTACTCGTTCCAAAACCGTGTGATTGGATTTCCATTGTGTGGTGAACCCATTTCCTCCCATCTTATGTTACGCTCGTCCTAGCATGTAGAGGAAGACACTCCAGTGAATTACCCGCTACCTCAACGGATGCCCCAAGCTATCTGGCCGTACGCTTACTGTGATTACTCAATAGATAGTGGATCCTTCAAATTGTACTCAAATATTGCGGGCAATCTTCCTTACCTAAGGCACCCTGCGGTACACACATGCTCAATGGTACGGTTCCGAGCGCAAGGCTCACCGGGCCTTTCACCATCCGAAGTAGGTTAGTTGGTACAAGGCCTGTATGGCAGGGTAGCAGCCCTAACTACGATGCATCGGTAAGCTACCGCGAGTCATTGTAAAAACCAGGTGTACATCCAGTCACCTCAAGCGATGCTTGAAGTCGAACTTACGGCGCGGATCATCTCTTATGCATCCAAAGCTTTATCATTCAGCTTTATCCCTTTTAACATGAATGATTAGCTGCGAGCGATTATGCGACATATGCTTAACTTTCATGAGTTAGAGTTACATATAAGTCAGCGGTAGCATTCCTTTAAAGCACCTCGAAGCAGGTGACCACGTAACAAAGAAGGGCATGTAAACGCCGAGTACACATCTGTGAATTATCTATGATGAGATCAAACTGAAATCAAATTATAACAAAATCGTTGCTTTGCTTTGTGTCAGCTATTGCAGTAGAAATTGCTGCAGAAAGAGTTATCGTTCAAAAAAAATTATTATCAGTCAATAGTCACTCTGTATGCGAGGGTACCGTCAGCTGATATGATCTATTCAAGCAGTGCAGCGCAGAAATTCAACCAGTGAGATCAAGAGGTTTCACGAAAGGATTGATTGCTGTAAGCAATGAACTCGGAATAATCAGATCGCCTCTGAAGAAGTGAAGACAACGTAACCACAGCCAAATTATGTTCCTTATCAAGCTCGACTAAGCTCACGAATAAATGGATTTTGATTTTATTTTTCATGACGTGTTTTCACATTTACTCGGTTGTTCTCAGCATTTCCTGCATTCGATTTGCTTAATTCACTCATCATCAACGAGAGGTCTTCAACCTTTCGAATGTCAATGATTTTCGGTTAATTTGAATCTTCTTGGAGACCTGGGAAAGCTCTGCTACTGCGTTCTCACTTGCAGGTAGAGTTCTGTTCTCAGGCAGGTGTGGCAACCATTTTTCGACTCACAGTGATGGAAGTTTTGGCAGGCTCGGGTTGTATCTGGTGTATTCGCCCTTTCAATGAAAAATTGTATACTGTTAAGAGCACCGAGAAAAACGATAGATGATATCATTACACCGTAAGCTTAACAATATCCATTAATGCAGCAATGTCCCGAAAAGGCTTTGAACTAGCTCTTCATGTAATCTTCATTTTTCATGTATCCTGGGTCGTATTCATTCCTGTCTGAGTTTAAAATGACATTGAAATTCCTCGTGTCATATGTCGGGCCAACTTGAGTCTATCTTCTTAATGAAAACCGCATGTTTTTCTGAAATGTTGTTTTTCTACACAAATGTATTTGATTTTACCTAGAGATGCTGATCAACTCCCGACGGCCAGTTTTTCATACTTTTTTTTTATAACATAATGCACGTCAGAAACGCTTGGTGTACTGAATAGAACGACTCAGAAACACTTCATATATCAAATAGATATGCAGGAATGAGCTGCAGGAAAGGACGGAATGTTCTGAAAAAGAAATGTCATCTACATAATCTTCGCCTTGTTAACCCCTAAGGGACGGCAATAGAAATCGAAGCGAGCAGAGCAAGACACGCTACTTTTGCTATTTGATAAAGGGTTTTTTCGCCGTTTTGCGAAAATTTATGGAATTCTTTATCACTTTAATAGAGAAAAATTTTCTCTTTTCGCTCATATAATTTTGGTTAGATATATGCGGCCTCTATAAAAGAAAAACGGAATTATGGCGAATTTGACAACTAATCAACTGTATTGAATCGTATGGAAGATATCACAGTAAACAAAACTCAAGGTTTGATCTACCATAGTTTCGTACAAGATCCAAGAGCCATCATAGTGAATAATGATTGAAAACAATGAATAATTTACGACAAAAATAATAATGCATGCTGTATTCGATACTAGTTCATCGATAACTCTCACTATTACTAAGTTTATATGAATCATTCGTTTATTTTCAATTATTCAGAGCTGAGGTAAGCGGAAAAAAGTTGAGCATTCCTGGACAGTGGAAGAATTCTGAGCGGTAACGGACAGCCGTGTCTGAATAAAAAGCTTAGAAAATCGGCACTATGCGAACTATTGTTCAGAAATATGTGTCTCCGCAGAAATGGCTGCGGTGGTTCTCTCCCAGCCGCACCCATAATCAGATAAAATATTTTTTATTCCTTTTCGATGCTTTAATAATTATTCGACAGCTTGAATATCGGGAATCTGAGGGGTGTGTTTTATTTTCCAAATGGTTTCTATATTATGCTGTAATGGTGAAGTAAAATTTTCGATACCTATGTGTTAGACAGCGACAAATTCTTAGGTCGATCTCAATCACTGGTCAGGCTCTTTTAGAAGTATCAGTGAGCATTAGAAATTTCAAATCTCTAGCTACAACTATGCTTTGCCGGTCTCTCAGATTACCTTTTGATGTCGCTGTAGCTACAGAATAAAATTTCGTTTCTCATTCGTTTTTCTCCTTCACTTTGACCATGCGTATAAATCGCTGCAAGTACAAAAAGCATATCAGCGTGTGGGCATTTTTTCGTAGCATCAGAATCTATGTTTTTATCCAAATTGAAATACAGTATTTCAAACGCTATCGGTCGCTCCACCCCGGCCCCGTTCTCCAGCTCCGTGAGTTGGCCGGTAAACAAAATCGCCGAAAAGGTTCACAGCTGAATATAATGTAAAGGCAAGTCACAGCAACAAATTGTTAGTAAGATAATCGCCCGGTCTACAGCGTAGCTCGACAATCCATTATGCGTCAAGACAGCGGCAACTATTGTTATCTTATTGAGAGTTTTTTTTTGCCGCATAAACAAAGACTTCGAATAAAAACGCGTAATTTTGACAAAACGGAAAATTCTGTACACGCTGACATGCTTTTCGTGCCTCTAGCAACTTATACTCGTGGTAAAAGTGAAGGCGAAATGCGAGTAAGAAATGAATATTTTTTATGAATGTTACAGGGCCATAAAAGGGTGTTTTAAAATATCAGCGAAATATAGCTGTAGGCAGAGATTTAAGCCTTCCAATAACTACAAATGCTCCTATAAAAATTGCCTGCTTTGCGAATGAGAGTGGCTTAAAGATTTGTCACGGCTTAACATAAAAGTATCAATTCTTCTTTCACACTTAACATCTTTCGCTGGAAAGAGGTTTCCATGATTTTTTTCAATAACCATTAGATAGCACAAATCTCAACAATCTCAGTAATAAGCTTGCTTATGAGAAGGACGTTTTAATGTATTGTTAGAGCTAGAAGATCATTGAGTTACGCACTCGGCGCTGTGTCGGTGGCGCATTACCATTTACATGTGCCGTCCGGTGAGCGCCGAGTGTAAAGCTCAATGTATTTTCAGCTTTAAAGACGAATTAAGAAGTGTTCTCAAAAATTGAGCTTATCCTTGAAATTTTTGAGTCAAATTTGTTTTGGCGAGATTTGTGATGTCGAAGAATTGGTGAATTTTTTGAGGAAAAGCGTTGCTCATCGTAAGATGCTCAAGTGTTAAATAACATATTCTTTTCCCTGTTATAGTGTAATGCAAAGACCTTTCAAAAAATAAAGTACATCTTTCAATTTTTCAAGATTTAGGCTATCGAACAACTACTTAATTGTCTAGAAAGAGCTAAAAATACGTTTTTTCGAAAATGGGTGCTGATAGAGGAAGTAACAGATCATGCGCAATAATGAACGCGCGCTCTTCCTACACTCACTCGAGTTAAATATTGAAAATATCTTCACATAAACCTCAACTAGAGATGTCTAATTGTAGAAGATGTGTTTTCGAGCTACTTTATCGCAAGACAGGAGATACAAATGCTCAATAGGGGTCGAAATTTTATTTTTGTACGAGGATGTGGTACCACCGCTGAAAAATGGATTTCAAGAGGAGTAGTCACTCTTTGCATTGAAAAATCTTTGTAGAAGGTTCATTCGTGATATTCCAACCTTTATGTAACGATAAGACACCTCTGAGTCGTTTCACCTACAATTACCAATAAACCACCTATGACGGCCGAGCGGTGAGGTAGCATTTTAGGCGTGAAATGTGATCTTCTTTTCGCTCTTGCAACGTCATATGGCAAGCTTTTAAAAAGCAATTTTATCT